GCCACCCGGACGACACGGAGCTTGGCCCCTTCTATAGACATCGGTATGTTAACGTGTTTTAATGAAGTAATTTTTTCCAATTTTTTAGGTTCTAATATGTATTTTATAGCAACTTAATCGGAAGTTTCGACATCTATGACATCAATTTTTATAGCTCAACAGAATGGCGACCTCGAGCCCAAAAACCACAGAGCCGGCCTCACAAATCAGCCGACGCGGGGCTATTCTCAGCGCTCGGCTATAAGGATGGCCAGCGGGTGATACGGTAGTGCATCCGAGGTTTAGAATTGGAGCACGGAGCTCATATTTTAGTCGGACTCCCCCCCACAACCCTCCAATGGCAAAACAGCCGCCAAAAATACGAAGGAGCAGCCATGAGCTGCCGATACGACCGATTGAACTTACGCGGGCCCTGGTCGTTGAGGTTTGGTTGGAAAAGCGGCTAATTTTTTGCGATATCTAAAATTATGGCAAAATAAATGCCGACAGTAAATCCCGAGAACAAAAATGCCGACAAACTAAAGCGCCGACACCGTCCAATACCGACCTTGAACTCTTCGAACTTGTTTCGGTTTTTGTAGAAGACCGACCTACGGCTGTCGGCATATTTTCAATTTGTCGGCATTTTGATACGAGTGTTGCTGTTGGTGTTTCGGTCAGCGACGCATTTTTGGAGTGGACATTATGGCCTGTCGGCATTCTGTTGTCGGCAGCTTTGTTGTCGGCATTTTGGCTGTCGTTATTTTGGATGTCGGCATTTTGGTTTTCGGCATTCCTGGTTAAATTTTCCATTTATCTGAATTTTCAGAAGCTCCGCCTCAACCAAAGTATCCCAATTGACGATCGGTACCCCGGGAACACGGTATAGAATTATGCTACTTTTTTAATTATACCGAAAAACTTTTATTATTAGTCCCTAGCCTTCTAAAATTAGAGAAATTATGACATTATTCGTAAATGACGAAAACTACCTTAGAAAACGGTGCGTCTCGATAACGCCGAGCGACGCCGGAAGGCGCCCAACTTGAAGGAGTTCGGTGCGAATACGGTGCGAATAAATGGAAAGGTAAGTAATGCAAAATATACACCTCAATAATTGTAAAAATACAAAAATATTGCGAGCCTAATTTTTAGCACCGCGCCGAGGGGCCGACGGCAAAGGCGGGGAGCCGAGCTCGGCGAAAGAGGAAGAGCAGGAGGGCGAAGAAGGCTAAAAAACGCCCAGCGAATGCGAGGCGAGGTGAGCTAATTTAATTTGTTTTAAATGTTATAACCTTAAAACACATAAATACTTTAGGACGTGCTCGCCCGATTTTATTTTCGGCGTATTCGGGGCCGCTAACGACGGCGGAATACCTGAAAGTCCCGCCACTTTCCACGGTTGACGGGGAATCTGGGCCGAAGAAGGGGTCCAGGGAAAAGGTGAGTAATTTTTTTAGTGGCGTTGCGATTACGTTGCTTAGCTTAGGCTTAGGCTTAGGCTTAGGCTTAGACTTAGGCTTAGGCTTAGGCTTAGGCTTAGGTAGGGCTTAGGCTTACTTAGGTTTGGGTTAGTGTTAGCCTAGGTCCGGGTTTTGGGCTTGCATGAGGCTTGGTTTAAGCTTGGCTTGGGCTTCGGCGTAGGTTTAGGCTTATGCTTAGGCTTGGTTTGTCACTTTTCCAAGGACTTTCCGTACAAATAACTTCTTTCCAGATCCCGATCCGCCCACTAACCCCGATTCCGGACATTGGCCGCCAAAAATCCGCCCTCGAGCACCGCATCCAGGAGCTGAACCGCGAGCTGAGCAGGATCGAGGATGTAAAATTCATTTTCGAAGCTTGTTAGCAATTTTAAGTGTTTTTACGCTTTTTTAGCGAATTTCACGGCGCTACGACTCGTCGGAGCAGAGCCTCGGCGATCGGATCGAATATGAGGAGCAGCGGTCGTTGAAGCGGAAATATCAGGTTGGCATTCTGGCAGTGGTCTCTTGAGAAAACTGGCTGCCTGGCAGACTGGCAGAGGAAATTTGGGATGGGAAACTTTGATTGAATAGGAGGCCATCGACGAGTTGGCGGACACGACCTCGCAGCCATTCATGTTGCCCCGCCATGCAATCGATATGAAATGGAGTCCGTTAAAGTACTATGTGAAGGATGGGATAATCTACGAAAGGCTACAGGGGAGACGGTAGGCAGAGAGTTAGTGAGAGAGAGCGAGAGAGAGGGAGAGAGGGAAATTCCATTTTTCAGCGTCTCCGGCGTCTCCACCCAAGATCGTGCCATCCCAATCCTGAGCCGTGAGGGCCAATTCATAGGACCCAAACGGAAAGTGGTCTCCTCCCCGTTAATCACCGAAGTCCAATGGACACCAAATAACGCTCAGAATTACGGATATGCCCTCCAGCGCAGCTCTACCGTATTCCAGGACCCGGATGATGGGCTTCAGGAGGTGATCTCTCTCTCGCTCTCTCTCCCTCTTTCTCTCTCTCCCTCTCACTCTCGCTATCTCTCTCACTTCCTACTCTTCTAGATGCTCACCGACATCGCCCCACCGCCCAGCCAGTTCTTCCGACCGCCACCGGATCCGGTACCTCCGGCGGCTACTCCTGTAGAGACTACCGTAACCCCACTACCGGAACCAGTCGCCGTCACGGTGGACCGATTTCCGGAACCGGAACAGTAAGCCGCTTCGAGATCATAAAGAAAAACAGAAAACGTCGAAGTTCATAAATTACCAAAATTCGACATTCAGCAATGCCGACTTTCTAAAATTTCGCCATTAGCAAACCAGACGTTCAACTATTACGAATTTACAAAATTCCGATATTATGAAGTTCCGGCAATTTTTTGCACATAAACGGTTTCAGGATGTTCGCCGACCCAAGTACCGTACCCCCAGCACCACCTGAAGCAGTCGATTGGCAACGGCCGGAAGCCGATATCGACGAGCATCCGTTGGATACGGTAGATACGGTAAGAGAACAAAATCATTTTTTAAACGAAAAATTTAGCCGGGATTCCGTAGGCCGTTTATGAACGCGACGCACGGGCAGAATTGCTACGCGAATCGAGATGGTAAGCTGTATTTTATGAAGCTTAGGCTTAGGCTCAGGCTCAGGCTTAGGTCTAGGCTTAGGCTTAGGCTTAGGCTTAGGCTTAGGAATAGGCTTTGGCTTATGCTATGCTTAGGTTTCGCTTTGGCTTATGCTAGGCCTAGGCTTAGGCTTACCTTTACCCGCTTTTCCAGGCTACATGTGCTGCAGCGAGCGGCTGGAGCTGATCATGCGCAAAAGCTTCCGGAAGCTGCGACGCCGCCTAGGGTTCCACGGCTGCTCGGTGCAACTGATCGCCAACCAGATCCAAAAAGACGCCGAGGCCACGTGGGTCGTGCTTTAGGATTCGTATTAACCTTCTCCAGATTCGGTGTCCCGTTCGAATCTGTCGTCGGCATCGACGACTTTGCCATCCGGGCCCATTTCGTGGGGGAATTGACGTGCAAAATCGAGCAGGACGGACGATTTGTGGCTGCATATGCGACGGCGACACCGGTAGGTGATGGAGGTTTTTAGGCATAGCCTTGGGCTTAGGCTTAGGCTTAGGCTTAGGAGTTTAGGCTTAGGTTTAGGCTTAGGCTTAGGCTTTGGATTAGGCTTAGGCTTCGGATTAGGCTTAGGCTTAGGCCTGGCTTTTCGCGGATGATGTCCAATCATTCCATTTTCAGGAAATCTTCCTCTCCAAAGCCTCGCGAAACATCGCCTACGAAGCGAAACCCCGCGTGACGCCGGCGCAAAACATCTCTGAAGCCGAACTGCTCGAGACCGAGCGGAACATTCAGGCCATTGCCGACCTCCTTCAGGGCGTCGACCAGAGGACTACCATGTAAATTTCGGGGTTACGATATACGATTACGATTTTAAGATTACATTTTTCGACATTTGATCACCAGCGAAATTGTGATCCCCTAGTTTCTTTTAGTCTCATCCCGGAAGTGACAACTACAAGCCCACCCCCAGAGACCACCATAACTACCGAGAATCCGATAATTCCGGCCTTGAAGAAATTTTTCGACGCCGCCACGACGCCACGCTACGCCACGGACCAGCAGCTGTTCCCCTTTTATAAAAGAAAGCAGAAGGGCGTTCGAACTATGGTCGTCGACGAGCCGATACTGATTTCCGGGGACTTTCCCAGGTTACTGTAGTTTTAACTGTTTTTCAGTAAATTGTCTATCTATCGTTTACTTTTTTAGACGTATTGTAATTTATAAGGATGTATTTTGTCAAATGTCGCTTTCTAAATCCCGCCAACTCATTCCCCCGCTTGAACTTTGAACTTTATTGAATTCCTTGGCTTTCACGGGTGATAATTAGGTGCATTTTATTCATTTAAAGGAATAAATTAAAAATAAATGCGTATTTATAAATCTTTGGCCGGCTGTGCGTCGCGGCCGCGTTGCGGCGCTCGGGAAAGAATTACATTGCGTGTACGCAGCCCTCTTCCGGCTTTTCATTCCTCTTCCGCTTTGCCAATCTATGTTGCTTTTTCGATACCCATTTAATAGTTTTCATTATTTATTAAAATTGATTCTTCCTTTATTCTAAACCTTATTCTTTTTTCGTCGCGGCCGCGTCGCGGCACTGGGGACAGAATTACATTGCGTGTACGCGGCTTTTCTCTTTCTTTCTTTCTTTCAATTTTGTGTATTTCGCTTTGCCAAATATACGTTTATCCTTAAAGCTTTAATAAATTTAGTTAATAGACTAAAAAACGCCATTGCTGCTGTGAGATCGGCACACGCTGACGGGGGGATTGGGCTGATTTGGTCCCGTTTTCGGCAAAACAAGTGAAGTCAAGGCAAAAAGAGACGAAAATAAAGATTTGGCACTGGCAGATCACATTCCGGGGTCGATGATGATTTTGTATTAAAGCAAAGTGATGGGATTTGTAAAGCACGTTCGTAAAGGCTTGCAGGATAATAGAAAAAATACAGAAAAGTATAGAAAAAAGTAACTAAATGTTTAGTCTTCCTTTTTCGTTTGTTGTTTCGTTTTTGTGAGTCGTTTCCGGCGCTGGAATGGCGTGTTTTATCGTAATTTCAATCAATTAAATTAAGGTTAATTCCTATCTATACTAAACATTTCATTAAACTGACCACTTCCTGCTCCTCGGCCTCGTCCTCGCTGTCGGAGCGCACATCGGCCGCCTCACCCTCTTGTATCGTCCGCACGACGATCTGAAAGGTGTTTTAGGGTTATAACCGGTTCTTTTGCATTATCCTGAACTAACTTTTTTTCTGTAAGTCCAGAAATTTTTAGTAACGGAATAGTAAGGGTCTTTTAATAGTGTTTTTAGCAAAATTTAACTATATTTAAGTAGAAAACCAATCAAAAAAAAAATAGAAAAAGATTTTTATGTAAAATTTTGGTCGTAGATCGGCCATTTTGATAGAAAATCTATATTTTATTTGTATTTTTAAACAAAAGTTGTAAAGCTGTTACGTTTAGGAATGGTAAAAACGTAAACACTTCCTCTATCTGTAGCAAAAAAAAAATATAAATTCTAGTGTATCTTAAAGAGTCCAGTTTTTAGCCCGGCTTTCGACTCGGTTTTTTACACCCACTTTTCCGATGATGTACGTCCAGAAGATGTGCAGCAGGAAGAGGGCGACCAACATGATGATGATCAGCCGCGGCACGTAGGGAACCTAAAAACCGGTCTTTGAAATTTCAAAAGGTTTTACCCATGGAAAGTTCCCCCCCCGGGATCCCGAAATTTCCATACCTGCAACGGGTTGAAGATTTGATAGTCGGGCTGTATCAAGTCGGCCGCGTCAAAAAAGGCCGACCGGATGACGATGAGTGGATAGTAGGTGAGGCGGGTGAGAATCCAACTAGGTAGTTTTTTTCGTAATTTTAACCATTATAAATTACCTGGACATGAACAACACGAAGCACACGTTGGTCAACATCTTATGCTTTCCGGCGTAGCGTACAAGCTTGCCGCCCTCGAGGAACACGTCGGCAATGTCGTGCGAGACGAGCACCAGGGTCCCGACCTAAAAACGGGTTTCTACGTCAAAATGGATCAAGCCTATATTCTTAGGGTAAGAAACTATAGCAAACGAACCCGAACAAAATTGATGGCCCACGAGGCGGAGAGGAGGCCGAGCGTCACGACGTGGTGGAAGATCAACTGCCAAAAGTCTGAGCGGCGCACGTCAAAAAATGCGCCGAGCAGCAGGGAGTAGTAGAATGTCGCCTCCAACGTGTAGTACCACCTATAAAAAGTTTTTTATATTTTTTAAAGTGTCCTGCTTCTTTTCCTTACCCGTTTTGTGGAAAACACGGAAAAGCGGTTCTGGGCTGTTAGCGGGGGGGGGCTTAGGCGGTAATGGTTTTTCGCTAGGATTCTTTTTCTAACATAAATAGAACAAGTTTTAAACTTTTTTTAGAATTCCTAGGGTCAAAACTGTACAAATTTTGTTTAAAAAATTGCAACAACTATTTCGGCCAAAATAGCCGATTTCCAACAAAATGTCGGATTTACAAATTTTATTAAATAGAATTTAGATAGTTTTCCAATGGAAAAATAGCTAATCTAGTAAAAAATGGATCAAATATTTACCATCAAGTCACTACGCATCTATTGCTTATACAAAAAAAATTATTCCCCCCCCCGATAATGCGAAAGCTCCGTTTTTCTTCTTCTCTTCTCAAAAAACGGTGCAAAAAAGCAAGCCAGCAGAAACCGTCTAATCAGGACCGCGCTCGCGCTTTTGCAATCTTCTGATTTTTGGCCATATCAAGATTTGAATGCCCGTTGCAACAACCTTTATAACCACGAATTGCCCCTCCTCCAGCCCAAAGACCAAAAACGCACCAAACCGATCGCGGGATCTCGTGAAACGGGTACCCGATCCAACATTCTTTCACGTCCCACAGCCACGGCTTATCCTAGACGAGCAAAAATTAGATTTCAACGACATGAATGTACCCATAAAACGAAGATGCCGTAGATCCAGGCGGCCGTGTAGAAGCTGAAGCGCCAAAAACACTCCAGCACACGCTTTTGTCGAGTGTTTCTGAAAAATCACCTTCGTTATAGTAGTCTTCTATTACAATTTAGCTATTTTTTAAACGAAAAAAACAAAAACCCAGGATTAATGAAATGATATTTGGTTTCTAATTATGTGATTTAGGTAAAGAGGTGAATTTTTGGTCGAAAAATCGATATTTTTGTATTTAAACCAAAATTTCTAAGTTTTTACGTTTAGAAATAGTAAAATCAGTTTATTATTTAATGGCATAGACATTCGATCCTTAGAAAAACGTCCCCCCCCCCCCGATAATGCGAAAGAACCTTATGCTGTCCTGAAATTATGATTTTTGAAGCAATTACTGTTCCAAGCAATCTTCGAAAATCGAAGTAGTGACGTTTCCCCAATAAAAAATATTTTACTTGATCTTGAAATTCTCGAGACTTTTTGAGCGGTGTTTCGCAAGGCTGGAAAGAGCAAGACATCTCATCGTCCCATGACTCAACCCCGATGACAAATATGGTCTGGCTGGCGGGCTTTGTGCGCTTTTTACGGCCCAGCGCTAGAGATCAGAATGTTGGACACAATTTTTGGGGTGCCCCGGGCGTTTTTGTGATTTCGGGAAAGCATAAAAACAGAGACGCGCCAGCACGCAACCAGAAAATGACACAGGCAAGTCAGAACTCCTCTTCAAGCTCCATTTTAAAGACTACCAGAACGATGGAACGCGCACTGTCACCCCGAGGGTGCTGCCCCCAAGAACGCGCAGAGAGCGTCGTCATTAGTGGTGTCCCGTATAGGGCAAAGACCCTCTGGGGTTTGGCGCGCCTCTGACTCCCCTCCCCACTTGGCGCTGTGGTATAGTGGCTAGCGCGTCGGACTGTGGAGCGAACCATCGCGGGTTCGACCCCCGCCCGGTGCGCAACAATCTTGCTTTCAACGGAATTTCATCGTTCTGACGGTCTTTAAAGAGATGAGGACGGCATCTGTTGAACCCCCCTTGGGTAGGGGGGGTTCAACAGGTCCCAGCGCGACCGGCGGCGAGAGAGGGCGCCCAGGGGAGAGGCGCAGAGACATTTTCTTTCCCGCGCGTAATCGATTGTCTTATGCCGCCCCTATCTCTTTAAGTGCGAGAAACGTGGAAAAAAAAACAATTTTTCGCGACTTTGGAAATTTTGAAAGTAAATACACAAATAATTTAAAGTCTAAAATATCAGAACCATACCTCGCGAAACCGCCAAGAATGTGTTGCGTCGAATTGGCGAGCCAGGGGCCCTTGTTGTAGCCGAAGAGGTGGCTCAGCGGGATGCCTATACAAACAGGATTTTTCGTGGATTTCGATGATATCTTTTTATGTAGCTTTTGCATGCTTAGTTAAAAAAATTAGTGTCTTTTATATTGTTTCGAAGCGTTTCCGATGAACAAGCCGCTTTCAAAAACATTTAAAAATTAAAAAACGTTTCTTGAAGTTTTCTGAAGGTTTTTAGGCATTTCCCTAGCATCCCAAGTTCTATGCTTCGCGCGCGCACGTGTTCGGTGGAGCATCGCGTTTTCGGAGACTCGGCTACAAGAGGCTACCCCGTACGCATATACCCTGCGCGCTCATTGCATTTATCGGATTTGTTCTCTTTTTTTGTGCATGTGATCTTCGTTGTTTTCTAAGCATTGTGCGTTCAGTGGAGCCTCGCGTAGCCTACGAGAGGCTACACCATACGCGTCTACCCTGTGCGCTCAATGCATTTTCTTGATTTGTCCGTTTTTGACATGCGTTTTGGCCGGTTTGGCTCGTATTTACAGTTTAGCCCTTGTTTTCACCCACCAACAAGACCCTCCCACAAAATGCGGAACAGCACACAGGGCATTGCATAATATAGGGGATAGAGAAGGTCGGCGGCGTTGGCCGGCACGCCCGCCCAGGTGACGTTACGCGGCAGCCATAGTGCTGCGTCGAATAACGCGGCCATCTAGCAAAATAAATCGAATAAATCAATGACATCTGGTGGGTTGGACACAGAAACGTAACGGACGAAATATTGGAGGACAATCACAAATTGGACGCTAAAATCCAGAAAAATTTTTGAATTTTTTTTAAATTTCGTAAAAATTTTGAAAACCCTAAAAAACTTCTAAAATTCGAAATTTTGCTCAAAATATTGGCATTTTGAATTTTTCTTACAAAAATTGTGAAAATTAGTGTGTTTAAGAATAGTAAAAAAATTCTTCGAAATAACATACATATGGATACCAAAGAAAAAAGTTGATTTACCCCCAGATAACCCCCCCCCCCCCGATAATTCAAAAGAAAAGTGGCTGGTAAGCAACTAATTTACCTGAATTGTTGACTAGGTATCGACAGCTACGCGTCACGCCAATGCACGCGTATCCCCTAGGAATCTAGCCCGATTTTAGGTGTGCCTAGGAGCATCGTGTAGCTTGTGACATACACAATCGACAGGTATTTATTTAAAGCTTCCTGGCGTCTTTAAAATTTTAAAGATTTGAAGAATTAGGCTGGCTCGTTCGATATCGAAACCACCGAGTTTTTATTTTGGCTGTACAGAAAATAATTTTGGATGCAAATCCGTCCGGTCTGAAAGCGTCGAAAAGCTAGCGTGAATGCTGGCCGCTGAACATGTAACTTGCGGCTTTTCACGCCCCGGGTCCAGCTGTGATAACAACGAGAGAGAGAGAGAGAGAGAGAGAGAGAGCGATAGATAAGGGCACAGGCTGGAGTTGGCCTCGATCGCTTTAATAGTCGCCGCGCTCGCCTTGGCCATCTACCAAGCCGTAACGAGCCGGGAAATCGACTGAAACAGCAAGCCAGAAATCGGCATGAATTGCTATTTAAAGTCGAGCATTTAAGGGGGCGTTATAATTCTGATGAATCAAAGGAGGCTTAACGGCAGAATCATCAGCTTATGAAACTCGCGATACGTATATTACTTCACTATCGATGTTGAGTCAGAAGGTGAGCCGGAAAATTAAGGTAGAAAATCGAAAAAAGCTAGAAAAATCTAAGATTTATCTTTTCCTTTTTCAATTTTTTCTTGTCCCGTAGGTCCCATTAGCCTCTAAATCCATTTCAAAACATGTGTGTACGTTCTTTTTAGGTATAAAAACATATTAAAAATTGAAAATTTTCGATTTTTGGTGGAAAATTCATGAAAAAGGACCAACAAATCTAATTTTTAATTTTCTCGAAAATTCATGATCCAGCGTTAAGCCCCAAAAATCACTCTAAAAACGGTAATCTCGACAATATAGTGAATTTTTTAATTATTGAAGTGAATAGATTGAGCAAATTCACAATAAATTAAAATCCAGAAGCGTGCAGTCGTGCAGCAATAACATTCCTGAAATTGAGCCGGAAAGTCGGAAAATTCGCCTCTCCTGGAGGCACCCATTTGGCTCGAGGTTAGTGGGCCAGTCGGGGGGTAGAATGGGGGGATGTGGATAATTATGCGAAGCGCACTGGTCAGCGCGTTGGCCGAAAATTGGTGTGTCTGTGTACTGGAGGGTTTCCAGGGGGGAAGCGGGGAAAGGTGGGTCGTGTGTCGAGCCCTCATCTCCGCCCCGGCGAGAGACGGTGGCCCAGATGGGAGGAGAGAGCGAGAGAGAGCGAGAGAGAGCGAGAGAGAGCGAGAGAGAGAGAGAGGGAGAGAGAGAAATAGACAGAAGCCCTGTGCGCACGCTGGCCCCACCGACACAACACACCAATCCGGGATTCGTTAGGGCCCCCGGGTTGGCCACGTGGTAACAATTTTTGTGTTTGGGCTGGGCTTTTTAAAGGGGCGAGCAAGGCCGAGAATGTATATTTATAGTGAATTTAAATTCGTGATTCTGATTTTCAAGAATCCTAGTCAAAAAATCCAGAGCCATGCCAGAGCCTGGCCCTTTAATGCCAAAAAAAATCCAAAAAATTGAAGCCACAGGAGTACTCAATGATACGTCAACACTCACCGACACAAGCCTCCCAAAACAACCGAAATACGAGCATCGGAAAGGCCCAGTAGAGCGTGCGAAAAATATCGAGGACACTGTAGTCGCCGGCATCCTGGAAATAGAGGACTCGACAAAACAGCATTTTTGGCTAAGAATTTTATTCGATTTTCCGAACCCGCGACACGCGACGCGCATGCTGACGCAAGGAGTCTCTGTGCGTTGCGTGGCGCGGACGAGAAAAATTTGATAGTCGTGCCTTGCTCGTCCCTTTAAACGGTGCGCACCAAAAATTTTGCATTAGAATTTGCGAGAGCTACAATTTCCTTTTAAAGGGATCGGAAAGACAAGATTTTGGATTTTTTGCTAGGGATTCCTGCTGGATTCCATGTCCACGACGCGCGGCACGCAACGCGCACGCCACCGCCGGCAAAGGACTGTATTTCATTACGCAACGAAAAGCCCGTGCGCGTAGCTGATCGGAGAGCCTTAAAACCCATAAAGAATCCATAACCACGCCTTGTCTGTCCCTTTAGAGGGCATTCTCTCTTGTGATGATACGTTAAGATAAATCTAAAACCGCTTGCTCACCTCGTACTGCGCCCACGTCATATTCTCCTTGATCCAGTAGCGCGCGTTCAGCATGTCCATCTCTGAGGAATTAATATAAGATTAAGGGGTTGTAAAAAGTAGCAAAAATGAATGGGGAATACCAACAGCTTGCAGGAATTACTTTAATTCCTCGAAAAAAATCCATTTTAGGGAACTGTTGGGGGGCGGAGAGGATTGCGTTGCCGGGACCATTCAAAGGAATGGGAGTGCACCACCCGAGCCCATGTTCAAATATCCGAAAGCAAATATTTTACCAATATTCTCGCCCCCCGCAAAAATAGCGCAAAAATTGGGAGAAAGAAAGAGAGAGAGAGAGAGAGAGAGAGCAGACATAGAGAAGCAAGCAAGCAAGGGTGCCTTTCCAGCCTCGCTATTTAGTTTATTTCCGTTATCTTTACTTTTTTTTAAACCTAGGCAAGCCTGATAACAGGCGTGAAAATCCGACGAGCCCAGCTTTCCAAGAAAACTAGAAAGGGCAGGCAAACAACGTTCCAACGATTTAACTAGGAGCTGACCACCACTACCACCGCCTACGACCATACCACGTTGAAAGCACGGCATCCCGTCCGATCTGCCAAGTTAAGCAACGTTGGGCTCGGTTAGTACAGGGTGGGTAAAAAAAAAAAAGCCAACTTTGCGCCATATTATCTCGCGAACGGTAGAGAATCGAAGGTACGTTACCATGCCAGAATGCTTAAATATGCTGGGTATGAAGATTTAACACAACTTGATTTTTTCGATTTTTGAGTACGAAACTGTACTATTGACGCTGGTTACGACCGAAAATTGTGCGTTCTTGAACGGGTGGTGGGAAAATTCTGATTTTTGGTCCAAAAATCGTTGACATTTGTAGAAAAATAATGGCCAAATATTAGAATTTTTTAAGCTCCAGTTCTTTTTTTACAAGCAAAACAAATTTCACTATTTTGTGTCTTTTGACATTTTAATTCGCAACTCGCTTCAAATACGCTGCCCATGGCTGATCTTTTGCAGATGGTGTCTTCGGATGATAATCTTTAGTACAACACCAAATTTTACCTGATTCTATGGTATTTTAATATTGCTTGCTAAAACGTGCCCCAGAAGGATACTGTAGTTTTCGTTTTTCGCGTTTTTCTTTTTATTGTAAGCTGCGATTTCGCTTAAAATTTTATCCTTGGTAAACATCAGTAAGGGTCACCTATTGGCCAAAGATTGTGGAGTTCTAGCCATATACCTTCCCAAAATATGCAAAAAACTTATTTTTGAATTCAGCCACGGAAATTTCTAAATTTTTTGATGCATCGGACTAAAAACTACTATTATTTGTTTTCCTGAAAGATCGAAACGTTTCTATGGTGAAAAGAACGAGAAAATGGCGACTTTCTGTTTTCTACCGTAACCCGCCTGGAGCGCGTTTTAGCATGCCAAGACAAAATTCCATAAAGTGCCAACTTTTCAACTTTAGAATGTTCACTGGGTGATTATGAGAATGCAGACAAAAAATGACTTACTTTCTGTGGTAAATGACAAAGTTATGAGGGAAAGTGGAAAACCCTCCTCGGGGCCCGATTTTGGACCCGAGGCCCCGGGCGGAAAATCGAATTTTTGAAAATGAAAAAGTCATCGGATTTTCGTGGATATAATTAAAGCACGCATCAAACTGTTTATGAGAGCAGAATACTGTAATGATCTGGATGAAGTTCATGGTTAATTTTGATTTAAAACCCGAAAATAACGTTTTTGAAAAGCCGACTTTGGGGCGCTCTTCTAAATTCGTTTGCCAAGAAAAGATTTTGTATTTGCATGGGTTTTAGTTGATTATCCAAGCTGAGTTTATGCCAAAAAAGTTGAGGCTAATAAAGCCTCGAGAATTTTTTTACCTCGCCTCGAATTCGGGTATATTTGGGCTCTTCGTGAATTTCTTTTGAGAGATTGGATGGCCGAATAAATTTGTAAATATAATCATAGAATGCGCCCATTAAGTAGTATTAAATAAAATTATGACACGAATTTTAGCCGCGCAAATGAATTTTATAGATTGGCACCAAGATCTGCGAAATAGCAAGAACCAACCGTTTTGGAGGCGCTAAAAAGCAACCTTCCAAAGGGGTACGGTAGCTAGAAATTGTGTACATGATAGATGGACCCCAGTGCTACACAACAAAGCAGAGAAAACACCGAAATTCTATCTACAATTTTAGAAATATTTTTCCAAAGTTCAGTTTCGTGACCTCGAAAGAATCCATGACCAGGGGGTCGTCGAAAAACTCAAAAATCCGCGGATCTGAAAAAATTTTTTGATATTTTTGCGGGATTGTATCGAGACTATAGACATGCTAAAACAGCTTATTTAGAGGTTTCCACCATAGGTTTTTGTAATATTCGAAATTTACGAAATTTCTCCATATCAAATTTGAGCATGCTATAACTTGCCAACCAGACCTTCGAAAATTCCAAAATTCCGGATGTGCGTAGGGGCAGTCCTTAGGTACCTACACTGTAAAAATTGGAATTGTTCGACCACCAGCAATCCAAAAAAAATGCAGACAAAGTTTTGCCGGAACGCACAGTTTTCGGGTGTCATTTGTATTGATACGTCGCCAAAAATCGAAAAAATCAAGTTGTGTTAAATCTTCATACCCAGCATATTTAAGCATTCTGGCATGGTAACGTACCTTCGATTCTCTACCGTTCGCGAGATAATATGGCGCAAAGTTGGCTTTTTTTTTTGACCCACCCTGTACTTGGATCGGAGACGGCTTGGGAATCCCGAGTGTGGTAGGCTTTTTGCTTTTGCTGTTTGAGACTTCGGCACCAATTGTTTCGCTTTTCGTGTTTTTGCGCAAACTGAGTGAGTAAATTGGAGAATTGGATGAGGAATATGGAGTAAATTTTCTGATGTTCCTTATCCTCTTTACTCAGGGGACTAAGACTATGGATGCCGTGAAAACTAGAGAATTCCAAATTCCGGATGCCCAAAAATTCGAGAATTCGAAATTCGAAAAATCCTAGAAAGAGTACGTTTTTCCTGAAATATTTGGCTCTTCGCTGCGTAAATCCTCCTATTTTTCCGCAGTTACCCTTTAGTTTCGATGCCGGATATGCTAATTTTTGGCTTCTTAACACCTTTAAGCTGTTGTTCAGTTCTGTGGCACCCTTACAGAAAACTATTCCAATAGTGATATTCAATAGCGGTAATGTTTCTCGATCGATTTCCTCCCCCAAAAAAATTCGGAGTCCTTTAATGTTCTCGTTTAAGGTTTCCGCCCAACTTCCCGCCCCGATATCACTCGTCAGCTGTCTTGCCCATAATCGGAGGCTGTACTCTGCTCTTGGCAGACTCACCCGCATATGGGACCATCTTATCGATTCTGCAGCAGTCGAGTTGAACCGGGGCGCATTGCCCGATTTGATTGATAGTAAGTAGCTGCCCCGTAATTGACCAACTATCGCCCACCCGGAATCGGTGCCCAATATGGTGATGGAGAAGGCGCTATTCGTAATCCAGAACTGGGAGCTGATCGGCAACTATTTGCTAGCGAAATATAAGGATCATCACTGGCTTCTGGCCACGCTGAAGGGGCTGAGGAATGGCATTGTGTAGGTTTTTCGGGCCAAGAAAATCGGTTCCGCCTACAGATTCAGTATTGTTCGCTAAAAAGTGGTGATCTGAAATGCCGTACGGTTCGGATGGATGTAGTAATGCAAAAATCAGGATATTTGTTGCCCTAAAATAACTTATTTGCCTTTAAAAATAGACGTAATGCTACCATCAACTACTAATTACAGTCCAATAACCTCTAGTTTAACTTAATTTTTATTCTTGTTTTATTTACCTTTTTTGGCAAAAGTTTAGTAAAACTACTGGTACCGCATGAAAGGAACGAATTTATGATTTGTCCTATAAATTCATTAAAAATCGAAAAATATCATTAAAAAAGATACATTCAGTAAAAGAAATGAATACGTCAAAAATCTCTCTTGTAACCCAAAGAATTAAAAAAAAATAAAATTAACATCCCAAATCCTAAAAAATCTAATTTCAGCTACGGTTGTAAAGTCCGATTGCCGCATGCCCTCGTCATGGTATTTCTATTCCAGGAGGGCACGTAAGTACACTAAATTCCACGAAAACCCATACCCCCAGTATCCTCCAAAAACTACAAACCATCCTCCGGCTGACCCGAACCCATGCCACAAATCTCGCCAAATTCGTTTGCAGCTACAAGCTGTGCACTGGGTTTCTGGAGCAGTTCAGCGGTAAGCTGCCCTAGAAGCGAAAGACCCTGTCTTTTTCTTTCTAGGCAAGAAATCGGGGTGGCACTCGTTCGTGTCGGCGTTCGTGATGGGCTACTACGTGTTCGGGGAGAACAACGCCGTCAATATGCAGGTAGAATGCCCCCAAAAATGCTCAATTTTGACTTCACAGATTAATCTTTACTTGCTTTCACGAGTCGCTGTCGGTTTGGCGAAACTGGCGGCTCAGAAGGAGGTGATTCAACAACCTCGTAAGTGTTTTGGCAAAGAAAAAGGCTTTGAAAAAATTAAATACCAAATCATGCAAAAAAATCACTCTTACAATTGTTAGAGCGTCCGATTTTCCCGTGGTTCGCGGCAACAGTTTGGGGTCTGGTCCTTTGGCTATTCGAGCACCATAAGGTCAGTTAAAGTTGTTTCTCGACTTTAAGTAAGATGGCCATAATATAAAAATTCACCATTCTAGGATACCCTCCAAATGTCCCTACAAAAATCTATGACCTACCTCTACCACGAAAGCGAAATTTGGACGGGAATCCGCGATTTCTTACTCCGGAATTCCGATCGAGCAATCTGATGATGACCCTTGCACTGAATACAACAATTCTCCTCTTCCATCTAACAATACACAACAGAGACGGGGACAATGGGACAAAGATAACACGAACAAACGGTGCACACCACGGACAGCGGACATGGTGCTTTTCTTACTTGAAAGTCGTAAAAATCAATCTCTTTATCTCGTATGTGTTTCTCAGATAAACTCTTTGCATAGACACGGGGATTATCGAATCGTTGCTGGCCGAGATACCGTATGGAAGGGCCGGGGCTGAGACGGAATCGTTACTAAAGGGATTGTGCCGTGTTTCGGGCTGTTTTTGATTATTTTTAAGAGGGCTAATTTCCAATTTTGCACTTATCAAATTCCTCCGCTCGCACAATCCCTCCGGGCCCCCAGGTCCCCGTAGAATAATTGGGCAACACTCAAAAGGAACGAAAGCGGTCAGCTGATATAGCGGTATGGTTAATGAGCATTTTGTTGGATTCATTGTTGGGCTGGCGCGTGACACGTTGAGGCATTATTACGGGGAGGTGGAAAGTTTTGTAATGGAAAGGGTTGGAAGGCTCGCGGGCTTCGGGCTTGCTACGGATTGCCGAAAAACAGTAACGAGAAGCCGCCCGAAGACCGGACGTCATTAAGGCCGCATGGTGGTGGATAGAAATCTCAGCACTGTACAGAGACAATATTTTTACAACTACGATCACGTCAAAAGTAAGGTCGGAGCAAACGGCATACTCATTTTTTGTGTGGGGGAAAGTCAACGGGAAATGTATGTGGGGGCTGTCATGGTGGGGTCAAAAGCCTGGCATCCAAAAAAGGCGCACGCCAATGAGGGGAAATGTGGACGGGGGAACAACCGTATCACGTCGAGTGGGATAATTTCAGGGTATAACAGGCATAATGTTAAACAAAACGAGTCATTCTGCTTAATCGCATTAACAGGGCAAAGACAACGGAATTTACTGAGCAATGGGGGTGGGGGGTTGCATGGAATGAATTCAGGAAATGGGGGGCGCAAAAGATTATCGGGGTTTATACAGATGGGAATAGAAATCTGTAATAATAACGTTGATTATGAATAGCACATGAGCCGTTATTTGCGGGGGGGCACTCACTGCCTTATAACTAGAAAAAAAAACTAGGTGGTCGTCTCGAGTATTGAAGGGGAATAGACGGCGGCAACGTTGAGGATGAGCCGAAGGTCGGAGACGTCACAGTCGATCACTTTGCGAACGCGCTCAGAAGTGAACACCGTTGGTGTGTCTTCCATAGCTCGAGGCTGCATCAGCTCCACCTAGAAAATTGAGTAAATTTATTGGAATGACAATTTAGAAAACAGTTTCGAAATCAGCGAAAAATTATGCACCCAGGCAATTTCCGAACTTTGCGAAAACAGATTACTGTAAGCTAGGGCGATCTCTCGTCCCGTAAATCCGATCTCTCACCAGTGTTTGGCTTTTCGTCAACAGCTCGGCAAGGCTGTCCTCCAGATGGGAGAGGAGGAATTTCGGGGCGAGGCCGCTGGCGTGGAGCTCCGCAAATTGTTCGAGCATCGAGACCACGGCTTCCGATGGGGAAGCAATGCGCTCGGCGCCGCCCGTTGAAATCACCTAATATTGATAGTTAGAGGCAAAGGTCAACGCTCAAACCTTGACAGACCAATCACTGGTATCGGCCAACACTACAACACCATCAGAAACGGGTGCCGTCTCGGTTGAGGAGGAAGATGAGATGGAATGTTGGGGAAGAAGCAGGTCTTCTGTCAGACACGGCTGATGCACGTCTTCCATAACCCTGACAACGAAGTTGAAAGGTTGCGAAAGCGATGCTTACCTTCCAATCAATTCACACATCATCGCCGGCGAGTCCTTCAAGATTCCCGAGAGCACAAAGTGGGGCGAGTACGAGGCGGATGGGCCAACGAGTAATGAACGCCCGAGTGACTTAGCCTAAACCAATCAGATTTAAAAAAAAATTGAGAACAACAAAAGCCGGTATCTGAATAAACCCACCAAATCGTGCTCGCTCTCGCTGCCGTCGCTCTCTGTCAAATGCGTCCGGGTCTTGCTTGGGCGTTTCTCGCCGCCGATGCGAATCGAAGGCGTGCCACCGGTAGCGACACGGGCGCGTACGGCCGGAGGGGGTCCCATCGAGTCGCCCGAGCTGCACGACATGTTGTCGTCATCTAGAACCGAGAGCTGGTCCGTTAAAAAAACCGAATCACCTTTATCCGGGGTGGCTACATCGATCAGGCGGAGACTTCGAGGCGAGATGAGGCCCGAGTCGCAGGGAGAGTTGATCGGCGGTGAGAAGGCCTCCTCCACCGGCAGGTCGTACAGGCTGATCGGCTCATCTACAACACGGCAACTATTTTGTTTTTGTTGTGATTTCTCGATTTTTGGGGATTTAGATTCCTTGCAACTTTCAGTATTTTAAATCGTTTCTATTTTCCGATCTTTGTCCAAAGTCTTCAAGCAGTGTACTGCTCGGTTCCAATCCCCCGACAAAAGGGGCACCCATTTCCGGTGCCCCAGTTCAAAAGTCATGGTGATGGGGCGAGCCAGCCGCTAGGCGAACGGGCGGGCGTTCGTGGAATTCCCCCCGATCTGCACGCAGGCCAGCAGACAGCATAGTCTGGGGGACACCCAGACACACGCAGGGAAAAGCGATGCGACCAATGTACAGCGCGGCGTGCCAGGTGAAAAACTTGGGCGCCCCTGGGAAAAGGTGTCTGACCGAGGCCGAGCGGGCAGCCGCCAGTTTAAAAACGTGTTTATAAACGGCAATTGGTCGGGGTCTCGCTTGCAACTTTCAGGATTCCATAAACGAATGATGGCAATTTTGGCGGGATGAAAATTTACCTGCATGCTGACGGATTGTCGAACAGCGCACGAAATACGACAGCACGTGCAGCAGACGTGCCACCTAAAATGTAAAAAATATTAGAAAGCGTTAAAAAGAGTACCGTTTCGCTCTTGTCCGATTCTCCGGCCACCAGTGTGCGAGCCGTTCGCCCTTTTGCTCCCACGCTACCGACCACTTCCAAGTACTGCGCCAGGTGGACGTTGTAGGGAGCCATCGGGGCCTCATCGTTCAGCGTCTATGCCGAGAATGAATTTTCACGAAAAATTCCCATACCGATCCGATCACGTGCGATCTGCCGGAAGCACTCAGCACGGCGGCGGTCGATTGCTGCGCGACTGGAGGTGCCACCGAGGCTACCCACGACATGTGATGCATGAGCACGGCCGAGATCAAATTGGACAAGAAGCTGAAAAACGGTGGTTAGAATGATTTTCAGGTACTGGCAAGAATGTTTCTGCGAGGAGGCGTACGAAGAAAAATCAAAGCGTCAGTAAATTCAAGATTAAAACCTACAATTGCTTTTCCTTGGTATCGAGATCCCGTGCCAGGTTAGCCAATGTATCGCAGAAAAGATTAGCGACGAGCGCCTCTTCCCCATCAACCATCGACAACCAGACGGGATGGCGAAGCCGTGGAGTATTCGCCAGTATACGAATCGCCTTGATGAAGTCGTCCCAGGCCGATTGGATTTCGACCAGGAACGTCCGCTGAGAGACTGCGCCCATTTCGATGCGCGACTCCAAACGGGCCAGTTCGTTTTCGATCAGTGCCATGTGGCTGAACACAAATGGACGCTCGTCTTCGTCCCAAATCACGCCGAGTGCCACCTATGAGAGTTGTCGCATTTTTCAAAAGCTATTCTTCCTACCTTCTTCAAAAACTCGTCATCCGTCGTCTGGGAAGAGCCGCAAGAGGAAAGACGTGACCGCGACTTCCAGCGAACAGCGGAGCCTACAGAAGCAAAATACAGATATTGTATCCCACCACACCTTCATTCGCTAAATCGGTGCGATAGCTCAGCTGACGGCGGCGGGTTCGACTGAGCTGGAAGGGTGGAGAAAATGGGCGCTTTTGGATGATTTCCTCATCTCCGTCACCTTCTTGCAGCGACGAACTGGTGCGCACCCGCGAGAATGCTAAAAAAGCAAAATGCGCGTCAAATAAGGAAACATACATTCTGGTGGTGAAGTCATCGAGGAGGTGCTAGCAGACATTCCATCTGACGAGTTAACCGTGGCCTCGTATTGGCTGTCCGAGTCCGAGGCCATGTTGGCGTCGGTCATTTGGCCCATTGACCTGATCACTCTATATTTTCTGCCAGAAAATCCTTACTTTGTCCGGGAGAGATGGAAAATCCGGCTCGTCATGATGCTGTGAGTCTCGCTAAAATAATGGAATCAAAAAGAACCTAATCTCAACCAACCCAATTGTGTGTATTTTCAGTGAATCACTGCCAGTCGAGGCTGTCATGGCTCCAAAAAGCATGTCAGAGATTTGCTTGACGTCGGTCGAATGTTTGAGTAGCTAAAGGGAATTAATTGAATTTGAAACAACTATGAGAATTTCGCAAAAAAGCAAAAGGAATGCTCCCTACCAGAAAATTTCCGCAGGGGCTCAGTCGGCGTCGGTCTTGGCTGCCATCAGTAAACACCTTCGAGGCCTTGCTGGCTGGGATGATCGTCTTGGTGTCGAACACCACCCTTCTGTTCTCTTCCCTCATCACCACAAGTCGCATGCTCTCTTCTTGCAACTCACGGGGCACTTTTTCGCTAAAAAAAACAAGTTGAAGTAAGAATAGTATTCCAAACCATATGCGCTCCGTGAAAGGTGTCGCCTTGCTCTCGCTCTGCCCATTGCGGCGTCGACCCTCAGCCCGCGGCCGTTTGTTCGATGTGAAGATGGACCGGAACGACATCCTTAACGTTTTCCGTATTCTTGAGCGCGAATCCATGCTGTATCGGACAGTATATTAGTAGGGGTAAAACGTACCTAGTCTAGTATTAAGTTATGGCTCCTGACCACAGATCCCCTGGATGGGATCAGCAGGTCATCGGCGCGGCGAGTCGAGGCTGAAAAAGGTGTGTTAGGTTACAAGGTAAAACGGAACAGAAAATGAGGACAATAGAGTTGTATACATGGGAACCCCG